GGTCTTGACCACCCTTCGTTTTTTTCCAATCGCTACCTTGGCAAATATCGTTCGCCGTGGCAACCTATCTGGTGACATGCGTAGCACATGTCCCACCCAGCGTAATCTATGGAGGTCAACTACTCGCTCCAGTGGACAACCGCGGATACCCAAAACTCTACGCCTAACCTCAGCATTGCTAGTCCGGTTACCCCACNACACCGACAATCTCTTTTTATCCTGTTCCCTTAGTGGCCAAGTCTCTGCACCGTAGAGCAGGACTGGCCGAACTGCTGCGGCATACACTCGACCCTTCACAGACAGCCGGATGTCGCGACGGCGCCACAAATGTCTCAAGTTGGCAAATGCCAATCGAGCCTTTTGTATGCGCGCCGACACTTCATCTGTGATGCGTCCGCCAGGTGAGATATAGCTCCCTAGATAGCAAAATTTGTCTACTTCCTCTACTACTTCCCCAGTTAGGGTGAGACTGGGTGCTGGATCAACGCAATCTTGGGGTAGCATTTTACACTTTGAAGGTGCAAAACGCATACCGAACATGGCAACACTAGCACTCAAAAAACTATCCAGAAGCTTGTAACTTATCTGGATCGTCACTTAGTAGCATAATGTCGTCTGCATACTCTGGATTAGATAGTCTGCCACATGGGAGTAAATCGAGACCGCTATTCTCGCACGAGGACTAGGCAGAGTAGGTGTCTCTCGTCTTCCGGGTTGGGTTCCAAAAAGCTCCGTACCCGGTTGGTTGGAGACACTGGAGGTCATGACACCGATCCGACAGTAATGGTGGTCTTGTTGTCACTTCTTATCAGACTAGAATGCTTGAAATAGTATGTATGCACAGATGGACTGTATACTCTCTGTGACCACCGAAGTTCGCCTTCTTCTCCCGTCCCTAAAAGTAACCCCAATATCTATCCTCCTTACACGTTCTCACCTTGTATGCAATATGAGTTTGGCAGCGATCAGTGAAGTTCGCTTCACTGTATTACGCTGTACGATGATGGTGAGTGTCGCAAACAATGACTCTCGTGAATCTACCCATTATTCTTGCAACGCCAGTCTATATGAATTCTGTATCTTCACTTTGTTCTCAACATTCGAATCTTCATTGTACTCTTTTATCCAAATGGGCGGCCAAAAGGTCGCAACCAAAACTGGGGCATGACAATGAGTGGTTAATTTTCAAATGGGAACTTGCAATGATGGGTTGTGGTATATCGTGTAAATGAAAAATGAAAAACGGTCTGATAAGCTGCCTGGTGGCCGAGTGGGTAGCATGCTTGCCTTCTGCCTGTCAGGTCCCGAGTTCGATCCCCCAGTTGGGTCGATAGATTCGCACTGCTGATTAAACTCAACCAGGTCGAAATAGCTGTCCAGTGCTCCCTAGCTTTTCAGTTCACGCTTCATTTGCTAATACACGACGAATTCACCTTTGAAATTTAACCAAATCCTCGATTACTCACATGAAGTGCGTGGTTAATGTTTGTGAAAGCAAACTGAAACAGGTTAGGTGGGCAAGCATCACGTCCCTCGTTGCAGCTTAAACATCCGATCGATCGTGGAATTGTCGGACCAGCATAGGAGGAAGATAAGTTATGAATCCGAAGCTGTATAAACGTTGGTAAAAAATATTCAAGAAAATCAGTAGTGGAGTGATGCGTCATCTCAAAAGTACAGTGGAAAGCGTTTAACCCATGATGACCCTGTACCAACGCTTGACCCGTCTAAGATACAGGCACTATTTTTCTAAACGAGTCTGGTTATCGAATGGTCATATTAAAACTTAGAACTTGTCTTAAGTACGAACTACAACATATATTAACATAGGCTAACGAATTTTCAAAACTCCTCTTGGTAATTTTCCAACCGGCTGTGCTCGCATTAAGCGATCTTGCTATGTCGGAGATAGATTTCCAGAGGAGAGAACGAAAATATGGAAAAATGCATAATTATTTTATAAAAGTTCAGATTGGAATACTTTAGGACTACGCAATGATACTCTGTTGCAGTTCCTCGATTGTCCTCGGTTTTCGGGAATAAACTGCTCGCTTTGATTATCCTCACAAAAAGAAGTCCGAGAGACAGATCGGGTGACTTGGGGGCTATTCCTTTGGTCTTCCCCGACTGATTCATTTGTTGAATTTCGAACCAAGAAGACGTCCGATCAACAGAGCGTTTTGCGACGGTGCAACATCATGCTGGAACCAAACTGTAAAACAAGTTTCACTCTATATGTACCGGATGGCAGGTACCACGTTACCTTGTAACTTTTGCAGATATGAGGCATCATAAACTATGCAATAAGCAAAATAGTTCTTACCTGTTACATTTCCGTTGGGAAAGTACAGCCCGACGATTCTGCCATGAATGAAACCAACCCATACCAACACCTTAGGACAGTGAAATGATTTCGCGGCAACAAAGCGTCCTAGGTTCTCAACGGCCCGAAGTGCTTGTATTTTAGATGAGCCAAGTGTCATTATAGCTTAAGCTTCTATTTCGCCTGTTCGCCGAGCTTGGCAATTTGTTTGCAAACGTTTCATCACCAGCCGAGGTGACATCATCAGTGCTTGTGACAATTGCCAAGCTCGGCGAACAGGTGAAATAGAATTCAGTTCACCCGAGTTACTAGAACCGATTTTCAATACTTTGTCAATAGCTTAAGTTTTTTTCCATTGCGAACTACCCAGATGACGTGTCGCTCCACAACCGATTATTCTGTGCTGATTCTCTACCAATGCTTAAGCAGAATCGGCATCCGAAGCGGATTCGAGCAGATGTTACAACATTGAACTATGATGAGACCTGCTAGTATGGTTCTCCCGTGAGGGATAACGGCATTTTATTTCGGTATATAAGACCAGGATTACGATCAGATGATCGTTGCATTAGTTCTTAGCATGGCGTGCTCACGTACCGGTTGTCTGTCAATCGACGATCGTTTAGCTCAACTCGGTAGACCATTGAGATCCCTGGACGCTTTGTTGCCGTGAACTCATTTCACAGTCCCAAGGTGTTAGTATGGGCTGGTCTCATTCATGGCAAGATTGTCGGGCCGTACTTTTCCAACGGAAATGTAACAGATACGAACAATTTTGCTCATTGCATTGTTCATGGCGCCTCATGTCTGCAAATGTTACGAGACAATGTGGTACCTGCCATCTTCCTCTGGAAATCTATCTCCGACATAGCAAGATCGCTTAATGCGAGCACAGCCGGTTGGAAAATTACCAAGAGGAGTTTTGAAAATTCGTTAGCCTATGTTAATATATGTTGTAGTTCGTACTTAAGACAAGTTCTAAGTTTTAATATGACCATTCGATAACCAGACTCGTTTAGAAAAATAGTGCCTGTATCTTAGACGGGTCAAGCGTTGACACAGGGTCATCATCACTTTTTAACGATGACTTTTCACCTTCACAACGTCGCACTCCTGTAAACTGTTCGCACAGTGCATAAGCCATTCTTTAAAATGATGTGGTTGTTCAATAGCCGAATATTAGAATCGAGTTCATCTGTAAACACCTTAGAGTTTTGAGTACACTTTTGATCGGATCTGCTGTTCCTATTTTATTTCACTGGTTCAAAGATATCGATAGTTTTATTTAGCCTAATGGATTTCTCTCACTTTTTACGCTTCAAGCAAAATGAAACGAAGCCGCGGATCAGTCATGTCACAGTCACCGTCATCTTCCACACCGGCGTGTGCTCGACATGGGATGGAACTTTCTCCGTTGTTTGCGTTTGCCCGAGATTCGGATACCGACAATTCAGCCGATCATTCCGGTCTCCAGGTCTCCCCGCTTCTGTCAAAAAATCGTTTATCGGCAATTCCTTATCCTGCACTTGAAGTGGAGACCCAGAATTTCATCAAATGTGGGTTTGCTGTTAATGGAAGTAACGACACACCGTCACCTGATGGACACAGTTTTGGTGTTGATTTATCTGATCGTTCAATAGGAAAAGGTTATCTAAGCGATCACTTACAACATAGTCTTTCTTACGCTCGTCACATGGAGCAACGTGCAATGCATTTGTCCACCAGAATCAACCACTCAGCGAACCTGTCCATGAGTCCACGATTACTGTTTACCCCGGACACGAATAGCACTGTGGGTATGGCAGACTCCGCCTCAGAACAGAGAAAAAGAGCCTCGATGGTTGATGACCTGAACATGCATTCCTATTTGAGTATTAGTCAACAAACCGCAACCACCGTAGAGCGCTACGCTCGATTGGCAGATGTATGCCCTGAAGTTTTAAACCGTCCAACTATCAATCGGTTCATGACTCGTTTTGTCCCTGGGGAAAAACACCAAGAAGAACGACCAGTTGGTATTAATCCCATATTTAATTGCAACAAGTAAGTTAACTTAAATTTATCTTGACCTTTCTTACTAGTCTCGCTGGATCTTTCTCCAATTTAACCGATATTTCACGTACCCGTTTGGCGGTTTTATATAAAGCTCGACATCGACTGAGTGGTGTTCTCTATTGTTTGAAGCGCTCTCGCTGTGATTTTGAACTAGAACGACCAAACGGAAGGTAAGTAACCTCTTTTCCTCAGTCTGTTTGATCTAGTTCTAAAGAATTATATCAGTTCATTTTATGCTTTTCAGAGGTCAATTGCAAATAATGGTGACAAAGTGTAGCACGCTTTTGTCTGTACCTCTTTAGGTAAACAATCCTACCTAGCTATTATACATAAATTAATTACACCACGTGTTCATTGTTTCTGTTTGATATTTTATTGGTCCGCACCCTCCATGCCTCCAGGAGTTTTTCGTTGACGCTAGTTTATTTTATATATATATATATATATATATATATATATATATATATATATATATATATATATATATATATATA